ATATTGTTGCAGAGGTTGGTTCCGTATTTGGGGTATATTGGGACTTTTATTAGTTGGAGTTGGGGGACGATTAAAGGGTATGATAAGGGTGAGTGTGTTTATGTGTGGTGAGAGGTTTTATTTTGGGTGCTGACGTGCAAGTAGGAAGTGGGGTGACGTTGACGGCGACTTGGATACTTCCGTTCGCACTTATACCAGGTTCGTTCCTTCTTTCCTTCGTTCTCCTACTCTCCGTTCTTTCCTCATTTTCCGTTCCTCTTAGCGTCAATCCCAGTTGACCCGTCATCACCACCAATGTCTCCACCACCACCCGGTCCAACTCATTCAACGCCGACAAGTCCATCGTCATCGCCAACGTCACCTGCGCCAACAAGTCCGTCTCATTCAACACCGTCAAGCCCGACATCTCCTCCATCTCATTCAATACCAACTTCCCCGGGATCACCGGGATCAACGATACCTTCACATCCAACATCACCCCCTCCATCTTCGCCTCCTTCTCAAAAACCATCCCACCCCGGAACCGGTTCTGGCACCGGCGCTGGAGGTGGTCCTAGTGGGTCAAGACCTCCTGGTGGTGGTGGTGGTGGTGGTGGTGGTGGTGCGGGTGTGGGTGCGGGTGCAGGTGCTGGTGGTGGTGGTGGTGGTGCGGGTGCGGGTACTGGTAAACATGGGTTCGTGGAGGATGGGCCCGGGGTGGTCACGGTAGTGGTTGCAGAGTCGAAATCGAAGAAGAAGACAAGGAAAGGTGTGTGGGGTTTGAAGTTGGGGAGTAAGCCTGCTACGTAGGAGGTGGGGAGGGACGGGGAGAGGGGAGCGGTGAGGAGGGGAGAGGGAGCGGTGAGGAGGGGAGAGGGGATGGTGCGTGAGGGTTGGGGTTTTATGATCTTACGACGAGGACGAGGACGAAACTAATGACGACTTTTTATGATAGATAGATCAATAGTACGGTGGATGTAATGTGTAATAACTTGCTTACTGTGTTCTATTCGAACCCTCAGTCAGACTCGAGATTCGCCTCATTGTAAGAATGGTCGACTCAACGTTCATACTATATCTCTCATAGTACAACTGGTAATACACACACTGCTTATACTGTAGATCCATCTTGAAAATAGTGATTTGTTGGTGTGAGATCCGGGTTCGATTCCCGGTGGGAGAGCTCAGAAAGGCGAGTGCATTTATTTTATTTTATTTTATTTTATTCCTCGTTTGAGCTTTCCGACGGGGACCAAGGGCTGTTGAACCAGTTCGATGGATGCGCATATATGTACTGTAGGCAACTCAACAACTCTACCAATCTCGCATCGTATAAGGGTAAATACATACACGAAATATCACGCGCAGGAGAGTAACAGTTTCTGTGTAGGATCTGGGTTCGAATCCCAGTGGGAGATCTCACATGCCGGGCTGTGACTTTTTTGGGGGGGTGGATAGGGCCGATAGGCTGAAGGTATCTTGTTTTGAACATCAAGGAGCTACAGTGTGTGTAGCCTATATCTCAAATTCTATTAGTACGCACTGTAGTTTTTTCTGTGTTACTCGCGGTAGGTACTGTATTCAGACTCGGACTGGGACGGCCACATTCTTTGTCACTCAACGTGTCAATGGTAAACCTACCCTACCATTCAATCTCTCATAGTATAACGGGTTAATACACACTGCGTATTTTAATGAATTCATCGACTTATTGGTGTGAGATCCGGGTTCAATTCCCGGTGGGAGAACTCAGAGAGGTGTGGTCCTTTTGTTTTATTTTATTTCTCGTTTGGAGGTTCCGAGGGGGACTGGGACGAGACGAGGGTAGTGAACCCGTTTGATGCATATAAGGCTGTAGGTATCCACACTTTCTCACTCTCTCCGTTGATACTTCAGAATCTTCGACACCAAGGTTAAGCGGTGCATCATATTCAGGTAACTTGGCGATAGGTTCTAAAGCCAGGAGTGAGCGGGGTGGACAGGATGAATGGAAATGCGAACAGGAGCGGATACGGGGAGGAGGTAGAGAGGGTTTGTGTTTTAGAGAAACAGAAGAGCAGAGCGAAGGAGGAGAGTGCATGGGAGCTTACGATGGTGGACAGCGCTCACGCTGATAATTATGGATTATCTTTCGGCGTAAACTGCCACGTATCTGCCATCGTCCTGCTTGCAGCTTGTCTGGTTGAGCCCATGGAGTGCGGATTCACCTAAGCATGCGATAAGAGCCTGGTCGGCGAGTGGTTGCAACAAAAGAGAGCGGTGCGTTGAGATGAGAGTGGGGAGGATTCAGGAACGAAAAAAAGGGTCCATTGAGCGCCAACTTACGTAAAGCCTTCACATCGTTTCTCTGTCCACGACGAGCTCGAGTCGACGATCCTGTCCTGCATTCATATGTTCATACCTGCATCCGAGTTGGACTCCTCTAGTCTCATGCCACTGGACGAACCTTTCAGTCCACGTTTTGATCAGAAACATCACACAAATTCCCTATATACGGAGAAGGGCAAGACAGGCAAAAAATATCCCAAATATCCTTCTATACTTCTCTCACTGGGAATCGAACCCAGATCCCACACGGATTACGATATCAGCAGCATATCTAGCGTGTGTATATTAGCCACTATACTATAAGAGATTGATTTCTGACTTGGCCGACACCTCTTCCAGCGTTGCGTGTAAAACTCTTCGAAAGAGCCGAGGAAGTCAGGCGCCTAGACGGAAAGTTCAAACTTGAAAGGAGGAAGTAATACTCAAACACCACATAAAAACGCTACACGCTACATCGTGATTCAGATCACGATAACCCCCACCCTCAAAGGACGTCGTCGATTCGAAGACAGTCTCAACGGGACAACTTCACAAAGCGACATCGTATCAACAATTCGACCCAGCCACATTTTCCATTACACGAACAGTCGCCTTCCTGATTTCTAGCTTCTAAACGACGAGTGTATCCCCTCCTGAGGCAAAACGGACCTAATATACAGATAGCTCTCTCACCGGGAATCGAACCCGGATCTCACCCAGACGTTCTGATAATGATCTCGACATCAGGTGTGCGTACTACTCGTTATACTATGAGAGATGGATAACACTAACTGTCCAGGGTAATTTAGATCTTAAGGAGGCGACCAGCGAGGCTTGAGGCCGAGGGGTGACCATGTCAAACGAGTTGGATGGCGGTACTT